CAGGTGGAAGTCTCTTAGCAACCACTTTGCTTAGCAATGGAAATTTGGGTTCCAATTGTACTTGTAAGTCAAGGTCTGCCTGTACACTTTTCTATGCCCCTCTCTCCAAGCAGCATTACTAATTTTCCAGTATACTCGACGGGAAAAAAAAATAAAAATGATGGCCTATTTCCATGCACATGTGTTAAATCCACACAGAGTTCTAATGACGATAATTTATTTGCTTTTCTGTACATCTCTTATTCGCTATTGTGATTCCATTTTTCTATCATAAGGCCTTGCAATGATATCTACCAGCAGTGTGCTCAGATATTTTTATTTATTTATTTATTTAAGGGAATTTAAATGGCCATTCACCCGCTCTCAGTGACTCTGGGCAGCTTTACAAAAACAATGAAAGCTCCCAAGTCTTTGACAGATAGCAGGATTCCCTCTGCCTCTATGACTTTGCTCTGAAAGCAGATATCCTGGGTTGGAGCAATGTAATTGTGTCAAGGTTTTGGAAGGGATCAAATGCGGTGAAGAGGGGTCATTAGTCATGCTTGCCATTTTTTCCATATTAGTTTAATTTCCAAGGCCACAGAGATCCTTGTGCTCCAAAACTATTGGGGATTTGATATCAAATCCAGGGAATGGATTTGTACAGCTTGGGATCACCGTTAACAAAGCAATGCACATCTAAAATGAATATGGCTTGCCTTCCCATGTCATCCACGCTGCTCTGTGCCATCATTTGGTGCTCATTGGTGAAGTTCATACAATGACTTCAAGTTAACAGAAGCCTGACATGTTTATAGAGTTTCTCAGTCATCCTGGTCATAGTTGTCTCAAAGATGCTTTTTTTTTTTTTCAAAAGGCAACTGGGTTGTTTTTTTCAGGGAGGAGGAAGAGGAGGAGAAGGTGAGGAAGAGGAAGAGGAAGAGGAGGAGGAGGAGGAGGAGGAGGAGGAGAAGAAGAAGAAGAAGAAGAAGAAGAAGAAGAAGAAGAAGAAGAAGAAGAAGAAGAAGAAGAAGAAGAAGAAGAAGAAGAAGAAGAAGAAGAAGAAGAAGAAGAAGAAGAAGATTATCTTCTCATCCACAAAGCTTCATCAGTTGTGACTAGATCAGTGGTTCTCAACCTGTGGGTCGGGACCCCATTTGGGGTCGAATGACCATTTCACAGGGGTCGCCAAACAATGCAGTCTGCCATTTTTTCCCTTTTCCTTAGCTGTGCTACTCCCTTTTATTCTATTGGCTTTTGAAAGCCAATAGAATAGACTCTCTTGAATAGAGTCTAATTCTATTGGCTTTCAAAAGCCAATAGGAATTGTCCAGGCTGTTTCTTCCCATTCTGCAAACGGTGCTGCACCAGTTGAGTAGTCCTCGACTTACGACCGGTTGAGTAGTCCTTGACTTACGATCGGTTGGGGGTCGCGGCATTAAAAAGGTTGAGAACCACTGGACTAGATGGTGCTGGGATGGAAGGATAAAAGTGGGTTGGATGAAAAGTGAAACATTGTCTTCTTCCTAAAAAAAATAGTCCAGTTGCCTTTTGAAGAAAAAAAAAAAAGCACCTTTAAGACAAGCCTGACATAACATGTTCTGCCAAATGAACAAACCACAGTGCATCTCAACACGATAACCTGGTTCATATGACATACTGAGCTACATTTAGGCTAATCTATTTTCTTGTGCAAACCCAGTTCTCAGTTTGTGAATCTAAAAGCCACATTCACAAATGATTCAGAGTTAATTGTTCCCCAGTCCAGAATTGATTCAGTTGTGGTTCTGACTTTGTTTCTCACTCTAAATTTATTCTGGGGGAAGGGAGGGCAGGGAATAGAAAGGGGAATTTAAATACCGCTAAGTAAAATGCTAAGAACTTATTTTGGGACTCTTTCCTCCATCCTCTCTGGGTGTCACTTAGAATTAGACAACTGGAAGAGGTCTTGGTTGCTTAAGGCTTCCTAAAAGCATTGGTCTTCCACTGCCTGATCCAAAGGCTGTCACCTAATTGTAGTTCTTAAATCTGACAGGTGAAAATTAGTATATACATGCAAAGTAATCAAATAAACTGCAATTAATTAATTTGATTTATGTTCAATTTAGTTGCACAGAAATCAAATTTGCAATTTGTCCGGGCTCATTTGCTTTTTGGAATGCAGACTGCAGGATGCTACTGAAATGCCAAATGCTTGAAAAAAAAAAAAAGTCTGGCCTCTAATCCAACTCAGAGCTACATTTGGCGGATTCACTGTAAGAAACCACTATGCTTGAAAGATGCCTGTCCAACCTTCAGCACTATCTACAGTGGAGGGTCATCAAAAATCAAGAGTGGGTTTCGTATAATGGGATCTAAATCCTGCATATTTTGTATGTTTGTACAAAGGGGCAGATAAAGGTGATTCTGGTTGAATGACCACTCATTCAGGAACCCTTTGAACTTGTGACAGTGCTGAATGGTACTTATGACCAGTCCTCGAAGTTCTGGCCATCATAGTGCCCTACAGTCATCTGATTGTGATCTGGGCATTCAGCAACTGGTCTGGATTTTCAACCATCATAACATCCCACAGTCATGTGATCATGATTCGTGACATTCCCTGCCAGCTTCCCACTAGCAAAGGCAATAGGGAAGCCAGCAGGAAGTCAGAAATCGTGATCACACGAAGTCCTTCCTTAATGACCCATGTGGTCCTCACTTAAAGACAGCAATTGGGACTGCCATAACTGCTGTCACTAAGTGGCATGGTGACGTGACATTGTACTTTGCAACCGCATCCCTTAGTGATGGGATTTCCAATCCAAATACTACTATTAATCTGGGCTCAAATGCCGTCTTTTTAAACTTTAATTGATAGCCTTTATTTCAATATATTCAGGGAAGGTTAGTCATCTAGGGAATCAATTTTTCTGATATTTGATATCAGTTATCACCTCTCCTCCAGGCTAAATGAGAGGGATTATTTGCCCTGAGGGAATCAGAAACAGAACTAAACCCAGAAGTAAACACTTATCCTGAGTTTCCAGAAAAGTCCAGCACAAGGCAGGCAATTTGTGTTAGTAGTTTAAATTGTAGACATCTGGAAGCCTTGGTAGAAGACTCGTGGATAAATGCCACCAAATACTACGACTATGATTATGACCAATAACATCAGCTTATTTCCATAAAATACACCCCATGGCCTAAAAACTTTGGAAACATCTTTATTGCTGTGAAAGGAGTTGTGGGTGTCAAACAAAGATCTAACTGAGCAGAAACTCCATCAACTCTCTGAGCTACGCCACCTTCTTAAAATTTGGTTCTATCATTCTCCAGCTTTTCTGTCTATCTTTTGCCTTCCCCTTTCTAAATTACATTACAAGGTAATGAACATTAACAATGTGTACTAAGTTCATCAGCATGATATAACAATACTACTGGTTAGGAGTGATGCCAGAAGTCATAGCAACTTGTTCTTAAATACGACTTTGTCTTGTTGGAAATTCTTGATGGGAAAGACACTCTGACTTTCCACATTCTTTTCCGAGTCAAACTCCTATCTGCTCCCAAGTGTCTCTGTTTGGAGGCTAAAATTTAATACAACAGCATTAGAAGTTCCAGAGCTGCTGGGAAATGTAATTAACTGACCCTCTGAGTGACAAAGCATCCTGATAACAATATTTTCTAGGACGTCCAGTTCCTCAGACAGGAGTAGTGAACTGTTTATTCAGGCTACTATACTATTCTAGGTTTTTGCAGATTGCCTTCTTGGGAATCAGCTTCATGATAGTAGCACTGTAAGGATGAACAATGTGTTTTTAATGGGAATGGGAATACTAGACAGGAGAAACAAAACTGTCCTCTATAACAGTAGTTCGTTACCATAGTTAATTCAATGATTTCTATTCCATTGGTGCCCTGAACAAAAGCTTTTGAGATCCAATAAGCAAAATAACGGCTTATGAATATGGGCATCCATCACAAATCGAGGTAAATGGGAGGATGTACAAAGCATAGGAACTTGTGATCTGGACCAGAACCCATCTGAAAACTTTCTTGCAAAACTTTGCTTGCCCATCATGTTTACTTAATCTTCCCCTTGCAATCTTTTTCATACACTGATCTGGGAGAAAGCAAATTTATGTCTTGCTGTTCTTCCCAGGACTGTGGAAAGTGGGCTAGCAGCACAGCCTGATCAAATATTGTATGGAAATGAGAAAGATAATAATAATACTTCAGCCATGTTGTATGACTGTAGTATTATTATCATCCTTCTCATCTTCTCTACTACCCCCTCTTACTGGTATCATTTTTATGATTATTATTACTCTGTTGCTTTGCATGTACACTGAGAGCTTTTGAACTACAGAAAAATCCCTTGCGTGTCTAATCATATTTGCCCAATAAAGTATTTTATTCTGATATGTCACACGATACCTGGCCTACACTAATCCAGAGATCCATAGATGTCAGCCAAAGGTCTATGCTGCTACTCAGAAACCCAGATATCTAATGGCTTTCTAACTTCTTTCTATTGACTGAGAAGCTTTGCATACTTTCAGACAGCACTTTTCCCCAGGTGTCTGTGTCGTCACCAAAGTAGTAGAAGAAGCTTCTTAGATGAGAAGCGAAATGTCTCCAAGGAAAAACAAAGTCCAGTTGCCTTTTGAAAAAGCACAAGTAGGATTCTTCCTTTTCCAGATATTGTTGTCGGATCTGAATGCAATACAACCATGGAAAAAATGCTATACAACTACAAGGAAGGGGAAGAAGTGAGGCTCTCTGCAGAGCCCCGCTTCTCTGGGAGTACGTCCAGCACTTCTTTACAACTAAGTAACACACAATCTGCCTCTGCATATTTACAAAAGGAAGACCAATTCCTCTCAGCTGAATGATCTAGCCCAGGGATAGGCAACCTTGGCTCTTTTATGACTCGTGGACTTCAACTCCCAGAATTCCTGAGCCAGCATAGCTGGCTCAGGAATTTTGGGAGTTGAAGTCCACGAGTCATAAAAGAGCCAAGGTTGCCTACCCCTGATTCTAGCCAATGTTTCCATGGGGCTCTAAATAGAAACTCCACCAGCATAAACCACCGGATTGCCACTATAGCCTCCAAGCTAGCAGGGAAAGGGAGTCAATTTACCCCATTCTCACCTTCCCTATGTCTGACACACATACAGAGAAGTTGCCATGTGATCAGCCAAACGGAAAGGATACTAGTAGTTGCTGGCCAAACAACCTGACCTGAGAACTTCACGTTGGATGCCTAATTTGCATTCTGGACTGGCCATTGGTTAATTTATGCCTTTCTGCAGAGCCAAATTGTTCTGAAACAACAGAAGCGCTTTTTGAATGCTTCCAATATTGGCACCAGTTTGTGGGATTTTAGTTGCTAGGCAAACACACACACACTAAGGATTTTCAACCGGGTTGTAGCATGCTTTAATTTTCATCTCCAACTCTGGGAAGGGGCAAGGCATGGCGTGCGAAGTGCCACCTCCACCTTCTTCATTCTCAGAAGCCTCTTCATCTATAAACATTGCTGCCCCTATGGTTAAATCATTTCTATTACAGGTAGTCCTCGACTTACGACCACAATTGAGCCCAAAATTTCTGTTGCTAAGCAAGACAGTTGTTGAGCGAGTTTTTGCCCCATGTTATGACCTTTCTTGCCACAGTTGTGATTCATTTAAAAATCTGATTTACTACTCCAATTGTTAAGTTAGTTGTTAAGTGAATCTAGCTTCCCTACTGAATTTGCGTGTCAGAAGGTCACAAGCGGTGATCATACGACACCAGGACACCTCAACCATCATAAATATGAGTCAGGTGCGAAGAATTTTGATCAGGTGACCATGGGGATACTGCAATGGTCATAAGTCACTTTTTTTCAATGCTGTTGTAACTTCAAATGTTCACTAAATGAACGGTTGTAAGTCGAAGACTGCCTGTATATCGGCTATATTAAGCTATTATTTTGTTTTTCATCTTTATTACTTCCATTTTTATTTTGTTTTATTTTTTTGCTGTTGCAGCCACTGCTACAAATGCTCTCAGTTTTTTTAAGCTACTTTCAGGTTGTTGTGCTAAGGATAGAAATGCCTTATACTTCATTGATGTTTTAAAATTTGAATAATTAAAAAAAATAATACTGGGAACTATTTGGATGACGTGACTGCAGATGTGTGTGTTTGTATGTGAAAACAGGAGGCAACAGCAGACCATTTCTGCAATGTTGCCAAGAATTATTGATCCCATGGTCTACTCCCTGCCTCAGATTTCAAATGGGAAGCTGGTAGCTTAGTATATGAATGATTCTGTGGCTTCCTTCACTGAGCAAGGAGAGTCAGGCTGGATGATGTATGAGGTCCCTTCCTATTCATACAGTGAATTCACTCAGTAGAATTCATTCCAGTTTGTGCATCTATGCATCCCTCCACAAATACATCTGCTAGGAAAGTTAAGGAAAATGCAACAAGGGAGAAGAAGTACTTTAGCTACACTCCTGCATATGGCTCTCCGAGAAACTATGTTCATACAGTTTATTTCATAGAATGATTGATAGGTTACACAATATTCTGAACCCGAAACTAGTCAAACAGGCTGTTTCTCCATATCACATCACCCACAGCACCCCTCCAGATATAAACTGAGGCCAACTCCAACCTGGCCCATTGTGCAACTACCTCTGCTACATTTGCAATCGATCTGGTTAAACCCCACAGACCGAAGAATCATCATTCAGTTTGAGAGCTTAATCAGAGGAAAGTCGCATGAGTTACAGTCTCACCCACATAGTCTGGGGGACACCAAAGGTATGGAAGATAAACTCTGGCACCTGTTTCTAGAACAATTTCCTCTCCTTATCACATGTCATCAAGCTGTTCCTGGCTATTGGTTGACTGAGCTATCACCATGTTTGCACTTAAGGCTATTAGGGTCTATGGGGTGGACCAATCCATGCTCTCATTGGAAAAACTCAACTGAGATGTCCATCCTAAAGCAGCAACAACTTCACCAGGCTTTAAGACAAGTAGCACTTCCTTGATTCACTTCAAACCCTTACACTACAATCACATACATATATTATTTACCTCCAGAATTGTTGTAGCAAAATGTGCTAAGATATTAAGCTGGGAGTAACTTCCAAAATTCTGTTTTGGAAGTCTTTGTATAAGACAGATTTGAATAAGATCAACAGAGACTGTATATTAAATATGAAGCTATTTATACATTGGATCAAGGAGTCCAATAACCTTTTACAGCATTGTTGGAAAAGATGGTAGGAAGACTCTGCATTGGCTTTGTGAAAGGCCCAGCATAACTTCGTTTTCCTTTCATAAAAATGCTGATGAAAAAGCAGGGAAGTGGATGAATGGAATGCACTAGTTTGAAAACACAAAACACTGGACCAGTCTTATGTTTAATAGATGAACAAAACGTCTCTGAACCAGCCTTATTCATATTCGTGTCTCCAGACACGGACTTTTCACTGGTTTCTTCAGTACTAAAGACTTGAATCAAAAACCCTGAAGTCAGATGAAATTGTCGAAATTATGGTCTTGAACTTGCAGTGGTTATGTGGATGTTCCATTTCCTGGCATGTGGGACACCTAAAAACAGATGGGTGAAAGTGTCCTGGCCAGTAGGTGACCCAACCATGCAACCAGTGCTGAGACTTGATCAATGCTTCCTCGTTTTCATCTACTGCTACCACATCAAAAATATAATTCAGGGCTCTTATGGTTTTCTTTTTTTTTATTGCATTAGGAAACAAAAAAAAACCATTAAAGCATTAAGACAGCCCTTTTATGTCCCTGCCAAGAGGATATAGTTGATTTACAGATATGCTGCCGGATAGAGTTTCCTTGCTGAACCGTTCCTCTTAACCTTCACTCTCGTTCACACGTGCTCTCTCTCTCTCTCTCTCTCTCTCTCTCCTTTGCCCGTTGGTTTGAAAGTTGATCAGGGAGAAAGTTCACCGGGCAGCATGCGCATGCGTGGATCATTTGTTTCACAGTGTTATGGCTACTCCATGCCACTTCGGAGGATTTGATTGGCTGCGATCAACATAACGCTGATAATAAAGGCCATAGCAAAAGCGCATATTAAGCTCTTCCGTACACAGGTCTGTCGGTTTTGTTTCTGGGAATGCACTAGGGGAAAAAAAGGGAAGGGTTAAAAACAATTCTTTCTGTTTCAAAAACAGACACTTTTTTTGGGAACAATTTTTATCTGGCCTACAAAAGGGGAATCAAATAGCAATAACAAGTAGACTTATATACCACCCCATAATGCTTTACAATCCCCTCTAAACAGTTTGCAGTGTGGGCATGTTGTCCCCAACAATCTGGATCCTTGTTTTACTGACCTTGGAAGGATGGAAAGCTGAGTCAACCTTGAGCTGGTTAGAATTGAACTCCTGGCAGTGCTCAGAGTTAGCCTGCAATATTGCATTCTAACCACTGCGCCACCAAGACTCCAAATGTAATTTCTCCCATGATATTGCTCCTGGGGAAAATAGGTGTGGCTCAGGATTGAATTATTGTGCTCTAGAAGTGGCTAGTATTTACTAAGTACAGAAAAGTAAAAAGCTGAGGCTGTATAAGTTTACTTTGCAAATTACTGCGCTGAAAAAAGTTGGAAGTCAATGCTTCCCCCCCTTTTCCTCTTTATCCCATACTGATCCCCCTTTTCCACCTTCCCATTTCCCTATTATCTTTATTTTCATTTCTATTTTAGACCATACAATTACAGAACCATTGGGCTGGAAGGGACCTTGGAGGTCTTCTAGTCCAAACCCCTGCTCAAGCAGGCGACCCTCTACTATTCTGGATAAATGGCTGTCCAGTCTCTTCTTGAAAATCTTTTATTATTTATTATGATAATCCTAAGAAAACTCTGAAATAAAAAAATGGATTCTTGGTGCAACTGATAATGTTAACTTTGCCTTATAATAGAAAGTCTATAGGAAAAAAAGCCAACAACTTCAAAGATCACCAAAAGACCAATATCTTCCAGGTGATCTTTTAAAAACACTCTCAAAAGGAAAGTCGGAAAGAAAGAAGCATTAAGCCACATGATGGCAGTAGATCCTGACAATTTCCTCAACTACTGGGTCTGCATGTTGTGCAAAGCCATGATTTAAGTAATTTGTTAAATAAACCACATCTGTATGAGTTCAAACTATCTTCTTGGCCACGGAATACAGTTTATCAAGCACAATAAATGGGTTTAGTCAACACACATTATGGCTTCATGCAATCTATGAACTCAACCTATGATTTGCAACCTCGGTGCCTGAGTAACAGATCTGATTTTTAAAAGTTATGATTAGGAATCCTTTTTTTTCCTTCTTGAAATAGGATTGCCATGTGTTTTATCTGACAGAGAAAAATCCTCTATTGCAACTCTTCAACTTAGGCTCCATCTAAAAGGGTGGACTTCAGTGTCCTGAATCCTTCATATTGCTGCAGGATATTTCATTGGGAGAAAGTTGTTCTGTCTAAGACAGGGGTCTTCAAACATGGCCCTTTTATGATTTGTGGACTTCAACTCCCAGAATTCCTCAGCCAAGCACACTGGCTGAGGAATTCTGGGAGTTGAAGTCCACAAGTCATAAAAGAGCTAAGTCTAAGAAGTTGTTCATTCCTAGTTTGTTTTAAGGGTAAAAGAACCACAAAAAGAAAGAGGAATCAAAGTAATGGCCTTTGGTGGTTCCTTCATTTTATTAAATAGCATAGCTAGGCTCTACTATGTTCAACAGAACTTATTCCATATAGGAGTAGACTTGTGACTGATTGCTTAGCGACTGTTCAAACTTACAAAATAGATCCCCGAAAGGTACTTTTGACCCGGATTCAAATTTCTGATGGTAGCCCCCCTGTCTTCCACGGTCATATTTTAGATGCTTGACAACTGACCCGCATTGGTGGTTGTTTGCAGTGTCCCTGAAGCAGCAGAGTCAAAAGAGGAATCTCTACGTAGACACAGACTGACTCATGTGACTCAGTCCAACCTCCTCTTAACTTCCATTAACCCTTACTGAGCACTAAAATAGTGCTATTAGATTCCTGTGCATAGTGCATAATTCCATTAAACCATTAAATTTAATTGGAAATTCATGTGTAGTCCTGGTCTTTCATATCCTATAGTCCCACAATTTATGATTTTCTTTGCTGGAAACCAGTGTTTACTTCCAGCCATTGTGGACAATGGTTCACTTAATGGCCACGGCATTCATTTAATGACTGCACCATTTGCTTTATGAATGTCACATTTAAATAATGACTGCTGCAAAAAAAATGGAAAATCAGGTTTGGTCATGTGATTGCCTCAACTTACAACCTTCATAACATAGGACAGAAATTCCAGGCTCCATTATGGGAGAAAGTTGAGGACTACTTGTACAAGTGAAACATTTCACTTATTCAATGTGCTGTGAGGAAGAATAAAGTCAAATCATTTTACGTGCTATACTGTATGACAGAAACCCACCTTCAAATTCCGTTTGACAATTACCAGAGTTCTCGTTTAAACTCTCCTCTTCATTGATGATAATATTTTCAATGTCCTTCATTGTTAAGTGGTCCTGGAACGCATGGTACAGGATGTGTTTAAGCTCCTCCAATGTTATCCGTTGCATGTCAAACTGGGGAAAAAAATGAGAATTTAGTCAGAATTTGAACTAAAGCACTATCAAATGTTTTTGCACTTTGCCCAAATCTGCCCCCCCCCCCCGATTTCACAAGCGATATATGTCCATGAAGAAATGGCCTCTTCTTTGTTCTCGGAACTCAAACAAAGCTAGGCGTTAGCCCAGTGATGGCGAACCTTTTAGAGACCAAGTGCCTGAACTGCAACCCCAAACCCACTTATGTATGATTGTGTGCTGAGTGGGTGTGGCCCATTGGGAGGGTGTGGCCCATTGGGTGGGTGTGGCAAATTTGGTGGGCGTGGCCCATTGGGTGGGCGTGGATGCGATAGTAACCGATAGTAATGGCAGACTGAGTGGGACTAAAAAGTTCAATCAGTCAATTTCAACTTTGTGAGATCTTTCCCCCCCCCACAAGAAGTTGAAATTGATTGATTGAACCTTTTTTTTTTTGCACACGACGGCGGAGGCCTAAAGTGACAAGTTTTTATAAAACACAGCTGAAGGCTTAGGACTGGGGCAACGGCGCGCGTGCCCAGAGAGGGCTCTGCGTGCCACCTGTGGCACGCGTGCCATAGGTTCGCCACCACGGGGTTAGCCAGTGAAATGGGACCTCCCAAATCCAATAACCAACTTTAATTGGGTTAAAACTGTACAGCTATTGAGATCACCTCAGGGTGTCTGTGAAATCTGCACTTTTTTTTTTTTTTACCAATTGTTTGGCATCCCTCCAAAAAGCCTGTCACAGATTTGACTGTAAGAAGGTTAGCTGGATGGTCCTTTGGAGGCTGACCTCAGTATGAGATGCAGTGATGTGGCTATGGAATCTATGCAGAGATATAATTTTTTGGGTTATGTCATGAAGTGCCATTTTGAAGAACCTGTCAAAGTCATGTCTACATGGAGGTTGGCTGAATAATAAGAGAACATAGACAGGAATAGGTAGTCTTCTAGTGTTTATGGAGATTCTCAATCATCCAAGTCATGGTTGTCCCAAAGATACTTTTCCAAAAGGCAACTAGACTTAAGTGAACTTGCTTAAAGCTTCTTGGTTGAGAAGTGAAATGTTTTCAAATAAATAAACGAAGAAAGTCCAGTTGTCTTTTGGAAAGACAACTTTGTGATAGTCTTCTAATCCAACCCCATCTGAGCAGGGCACCCAAGACTGCATACCCAACACAAGGAAGCAAGCATTTTATCCCGAGATAGCAACAAATTGGGCCTCCTGGGTTGAATGAACACAATGCATATGTACACAATGCATATGTACATATATATTATAATTACAGATAGATACATAAACATCTAACTCAAAAAACATATAATCCACTTCTGTCCTTTATTTTCCTCACAAACTCATTATCTACTTCTTATTCTTTTATGTCACTGCAATCATTATTTAAATATTCTGTTATCTCCCTTTATTTAATCTGTAAAATCTTTTTATCATTTTGCAATAAATTTTCAGTGACAACATTTGAAGAGGTCAGGGAAATGAGCAGTTCCATTGAGAACTCATAATAGAATACCTATTGGTGAGTTCTCTATGGATTCTGTATATATTTATGAATTAGATATTATATGTTGTAGCTCAACAAAGAGCAAAAATCTCAAACCTCTGCATGGTAGGTTCACAATAACAAATAACTACAGAAACCTAAGTGGCATAGACCACAATGTAGCAGAAATACAGGCTACATCAAGTGTCAGATTTTAAACTCTAAAACTGGTTGATGCAAGATGCACATTTTAAAGAGTGAGCTTGATAGAAAACTGAAAAGATTGTTTTCTTGTTCCCCCACAAGAGGTTGCCAAACACATTTTGTAAAAGCATCTCAGGAACTGTGGTTGTCACAAATGACACTAGCTTTTTATAGTAACTCCAGATGTGAGAGAAAAGAAATGCAGAGTTTGTAAATCACTCAGCTTATGGCTTGGTAAATCAGCCAATCAGGTGGGCATCACTGTGAATGATAAAGGATAAAACTGATTGATTGATTGCTATTTTTAGTAGTGACTGTGCAGGTGAATTGCAAAGCTGCTGGTTGGATGTGTAATAACAAAGAAGTAATCAAACCAACTTTCCAACACCAAGTCTTTTTTTAAAAAGTTTTTTTATAGCACAGTTTTCAGTGGGTCACACAAAAGAAACTAAAAAAAAGTCCTTGCAATTATTACTTAGAACTCTGCATTGCACAAAGAGCATACTGTATTTTAAAACAGAAATAGAAAACCAGTCTTCTGAATAAGGATGAAAACAGCCAGAGATGATGGAAGTTATTATTTCAAATTATTTGGAGGGTCAGAAGCTGTGCTGAATGCTCTTACTTTCAGATATGAATATAAGGTTGCTACAGCCAGAATTGTAAAAAAAATAAAAATAAAAATACAGGTATTCCTCATTTACTGATTAAAATTGGAATAGACAACTCTGTTGCTAAGTGATGTGGTCATAAAGTGAAACATCATGTGACCTTGCCTGAGTTACAGTGTGAATTAATCAATTTTAGATGCAGCTAAGCAAACCACCATGGACCATTAAGCACAATGCCACATGAACATGACTTGTGACTTCCTGCTGGCTTCCCCATTGACTTTGCTTGTCACGGTCGGAAGCTCGCAGGGAAGGCTGCAAATACACATGGCGATGTTGCAATGGCTGCAACTCTGAGGACTGGTTGTAAGTCTCCTTTTCAATATTGTCATAACTTTGAACAGTCCCTGAACAAGTGGTTGGTGGGGGAAGATTAGAAGGCTAGGTTTCAGCAAGTGACAAAATGTAGTTGCCTATAGCTACTTTCAGAAGCTAAGAATAATCTTGGTTATTCAAGAGGATTCCAGGACAGTTTTCTATAACAGAAAGATTGCAGATGAAGAAAATGGTGTTTTCTTCTATATTGTTGTCAAGAAAACAACACCAAAGCTGAGCTTGACTCAAAGGACACATTGCTTGGCCTCAAACACTAAGTAATATCAGTTAGATATCAGATATCAATATCCCAGATTGTCCTAGTGGACGATCACTTGATTATGAGACAGAAGTGTGCAGCAGCTACCAAAAAAGCTAATACAATCCTGGGTTGTATAAACAGAGGCATAGAATCAAGATCACACAAAGTATTATTACCACTTTATAAAACCCTAATATGACCACACCTGGAATACTGCAGCCAATTTTGGTCACCATATTACAAAAAAGATGTTGAGAGTTTGGAAAAAATTCAGAGAAGAGCAACTAAGATGATCAGAGGCCCAGAGACTAAAACATACGAATAACAGCTGCAGGACTTGGGTTTGGCTAGTCTAAAGAAAAGAAGAAATAGGGGAGACATGATAGCAGTGTTCCAGTAACTGAGGGGCTGCCACAAGGCAGAGGGGGGCCAGGTTGTTCATCAAAGCACCAGAGGGAAGGACGAGAAACAATAGTTGGAAACTGATCAAAGAGAGAAGCAACCTGGAATTAAGGAAAAACTTCCTGACAGTGAGGACAATCAACCAGTGGAACAGCTTACCCCCAGAAATCGTGGGCGCTCCATCACTGGAGATTTTAAAGAAGAGACTAGACATTCACCTGTCTGAGATGGTGTAGGTTCTCCTGCTTAAGCAGGGGGCTGGACTAGAAGACCTCCAAGATTCTATTCTATTCTATTCTATTCTATTCTATTCTATTCTATTCTATTCTATTCTATTCTATTCTATTCTATTCTGATTTGGATGGAAGACCACTTAGATCAATGTTGTTCAACCTTGGCAGCTTGAAGATGTGTGTACTTCAACTCCCATAATTCCCCAACCAGCATGCTGGAGAATTGAATTCACTGTGCTTCCTGTTCAGGCTTTTAAAACAGTGAAATTGGGTCATGATGTTCTCGAGTCTCACTTACCAGAAGTTATAGGTAGTTATAGGTAGTTCTTGACTTATGACCATAATTGGAACCAGAATTTCTATCATACATCCTTATGGTCATAAATCAAGTTGGACCTGATGATACAACAATTTGTTATTAAATGAATCACCATGGTTGTTAATTGAATCTAGCTTTCACCAATGGGCATTTTTGCCATTTTTTTTTTGTTACCTTAGAGTTGGATATAAAATAGAGGTGGAAAAAGTGGATATTCTATCATTAGTTTCATCTTAAATTATTGATGTAATGAACATTATTTGGCTTTTTCATTTAAAATTAGGTATACTCAGGTTTCTTCTCAAATCATATAAATCTTGCCTATTACTGATCTTTTTAAACTGACCTGGAAATTTTTGTTTAGAGAATGAAAGAAAGTGCTATAAATTAATAGTGGTGTTAAAGGAAACCCTCCAGCAATTTTTGACAATCTTCCTGCTTTCCTGGGAAAGATACTGCTTTTTTTGGCTTCTTACCAAGGTCATTTTAATCATTTTCATGAATAATCTTTGGGAAACATCCATCAGAGCTGAAAGCCTTTCTTCTTTGCAGAGATTCTCAGAATAATCTCACAACCAAGAGAGATGGGAGGATTCACTGACCATTCTAAAAAGGTTTGAAGTGAATAAGGCATAGATGCCCTAAGCTTTGAATCCATGAGCCAAAGGAACACATGAGGATTTCTTGGCAGTAGTTCAGATCTGATTTTCCACTGAGTTTTTCAGAGTTTTTATTCCTGACTTTTCACAATAGACTATAGCCCTGGCAATTTCTCATCTAAGGATTAACTTAGCTAAGCTCTTGCTTAGTATCTGAATTTTGACATGGAGGTCAAAATACTCCACTTGGTAAGATGGGGCAGGAAAAGATTTACACCATATGAACACCTGTAGATAATATAGGTAGTCCTCAACAATTGAGCCCAAAATTTCTCTTGCTAAGCAAGATACTTGTTATGTGACTTTTGCCCCATTTTATGACATTTTTTGTCATTGTTGTTAAGTGAATCGCTGCAGTTATTAAGTTAGTAACATGGTTATTAAGTGACTCTAGCTTCCCCATTAACTTTGCTTATCAGAAGGTCGCAAAAGG